AATTTGGTGTTTATAATAAATAATTATCTAAATTAGAATACTTAGCATTTGTATCAAGTTGTTGGACAAATTACAATATTATACATTAAAAAAATAGATCGCTCATTAATAAAATTTAAAGAATATGAAAAATATCTTCTTTGGCATAAATCTTTAACTTTTATATATGAATCAATATTCACTACAGTTTCCTAAAAAAATGGTTACTCATCTTTTTTGCATTAAATACGTCTGTAAAAATCTTTTGATCATACAAATTGTATGTTTTGGTTCTACGGAGATATCTACATCATCTCAATAGAGATGTTAGAATGCATCTTTTTGTTTATTTCATTAGAACTTTGAATCATAAAGAGAGAATAATTGATGTTTCTTTGTATTTTTGTCTTACTCTATTTTTGTTTACAATTTACAATGGAGTAAAGTTTTTTATTGAGAGTCTTGGTTAGGAGCGTTAATTTGTCCAACACAAATTGTTTCAATTGCATTAGATGGTGATTGGTAAATTGACTTTAAAAGCTATACAAACATTTAAAAAACGTTTGAATTCTAAATGTCTCCAATTAGACTTGTTTGATTTAACAGCCCTAAAAGTCCTAAAATCATTCTTTAATTAATTTTCTCACATCATTTTTTTTTGGTTCATGTTGTACTTCTTTTTAATAAAGCTATTTTGTGATTTTTTTTTAATTTTAAAATCGTAATTACCTATGTCAAAAGCAAAAAATTTACATGTATTTTTTTATAGGATATTATTGGATTTGATAAATAAAATATCTATTTTTTATACATAAATTTAAGTAAAAATTATATTGTAATTTATATAAGAATTACATAAATGTACACAAAATTGTTAATTATAATTTGTTAGAATTAATTTACATAAGAATTAGCTATTAAATTGTTAGAAGTAATTGCTAAAGTTATTAAAAGACATTTAATTTTTCTTTTGTTTTTAATAAATAATTTAAAAAGACAAATGTCAAAAAATTAAGTGACACATAACAGTCTCTCATAGCTTATACTTTGACAAATCTTACTATATTATATAAGATTAGTATATCTTCAATTTGATCGTTGATTCATTAAGGATGTATTTATTGATAGACTCGAGTGTTTGTTATAGCAAATGATGTCTAATTGTAATATAGTAGAGAACATAGAGTTTCTATACGTTCAGTGTGGGCAAAGTCTCGTGAGTATTTTAGTGGGTCAATTTGAGGAGTAAGCTATGTAGCCGACAATTTTAAATCCATGTATATATCTCAAGTCAGTCAAGTATTCGTTTCTAGTTGTATTTGAACCATTGAAGTCGCCAGCTAGCCGGTGATTACAATTTCCGCCACGTTACAAAATTTATTTATAGGTTGTATATAAAAATATGTCATATCTACATTACAAATAAAATTGTAATGGACCTTGTTGCCCTAAAATTTTGTGACCAAATTAAGATGTCATGAGTCATGACAATGACAAATACAATAAAAACATGTCTAAAAAACATTAGCAACATATTTGCAACAAAATTGTTTCGACATGTAAAAACGGCCAATCCGTTGCAAAATTACTATGTAAATTTCTTAATCAATTTTATCGTAAAGTTTTAAGCCTAGAACTCCGGCCACAACTATTATTAATCTCGAGTTTGATTTCGATAAAAGGACCTTATCAGTGATATTAACCAAAAATTATATGTAAAAATGAGTAATGGTTTCCTCGATCAAAAGGAAAACTAAAATTGGTTTTAGTAAAACTAGAGATTAACGAATTTGCTGGTTGGCAAATTGGTTTTCAGAATTCACCAATAATTTGCCAAGGGTTCTTTGTGCTCAGGATAGTGAAACATTTGTACAAAAGACAAAATCCAAGAAAACTTGAACCAAACCTTTTTTTTAAGTTTAAAAAGACAAAGAAAGAAAATTAAATGAAAAAGCAAGAATGACTCACTCTCGACCAATATAAAATGGGGGTTTGGATGAAGAAACCAAAATCAAAGCAATATCTTAAACTGA